CACAAGCGAGCTGCGGTGTGTGGGCGGGAAGCAGCCGCCAGCTCTCAGCAGCCGCCCCCTGACATCAGCCAGCTCAGCCTCCGGGGAAAAACACGGGTGTCAGAGCTTCCCCACAGCGCGGCCAGGCTCCGGCGGGCCAGGACACCCGGGATGGCACTGGGCTGCGCGGCCCTGACGCTGGCCCTGCTGCTGCCCCTCTGCCCCTGGGCCCACGGTAAGTCGCCTGCGCCCCTCAGGCGCCAGCTTTCCTGCCCCTTGCCCCTGGCAGGGGGGCTGCGCTGCGCTGCGCTGCGAGGCCGGGTGGCTCGGCGGGGTGCTGGGGGCCCACAATTTCTCTGCCTTTGCTGCCTGGCTTCTGCCTCGCGCCGGCTCTGCTGGCCGCGCAGCCGCCCGGGCAGTGGGCTGCGGACCCCCGGCAGCAGGGCACAGGCACTGGGCAGCTGGCTCTGCCTCCCCCTGCCCATTTCAGCACAGGTCCGGGGATGCTGCACCCTGCTCAGCCGCGGGCACTGCTCCTGCCCCCTGCAAGCGCCCGTCAGACCATTGACCCTCTGCACTTTGGACAGGGCTGAAATGAATCCAGCTCTGGTCGGTGCGAGGGCGCGCTGCGGCCCGCCCCGCCGAGCCCATGGCTCGCTCAGTGTCCCCTCCTGGGCTGAGCACACAAGCAGCCCCCGCTCCGTCCTCCTCGCCCCCCAGAGACACCCCGCGGCCACGCCGGGCAGGGAAGCCTTGTCCGCGGGGGACTTACGAGTTTCCTTGGCAGCAAAGAGTTTAGTGACACAAACAGGCAACTCCTGTAGTGCATCACCCACCGCAGCCTCGGGAACTGGAGCTTGCCCAGGGACATGCAGGCAGTCAGTGGCAGGGCAGGACAGGGAGCCAGGTCCCACAGGCCCCGCACACTGGACACGGCGCCTGAGGATGTGGAAGGGGCGGGGGGCCGGGGGCACATCCAGCCGAGCCATGGGGCGCTGAGGGGCACAGCTGCTCCTTGGAGCCGCCAGCTCCGGGCGGCGACCCCCCTGCCCAGCCCCTGGCAAGGAGCGTGCAGCCCGCAGCAGGGAGAACTTCCCCGGCTCTCCCCTGGCCTTCCCCAGGCACAGGATCAGCAAAGGTCACTGCTCACCTCCCCCCGAGGGGAACTTCCCCATCTCGCAGTCACGGCAACCTTGCCCGGGCCTGGCCTGGGGAGCCAGCCTCCCCTCACCGCGCGGTCTGCTCCTCCCCGCAGCCCAGCAGCTGGCAGCCCCGACCCGGGTGCGATTCGTGGCACAGACCCTGCAGCACGTGCTGCACTGGGAGCCCGCGGAGGACGCGCCCCACGACACCCTGTACAACGTGGAATACAGGCTGTAAGTAGCCCGGCGCGCCAGGCCCTGCCGCCCAGGCTCTGCTGGCGTTGACCGGGCGGCTCGGCCCATGGACACCCCCTCCCGCCCCGCGGCCCCACGCTGAGGAAGCACGCTGTGTCCGCAGGTACGGGCCTGGGAGCTGGATGCCTGCCCCGAAGTGTCGTGTGATCTCTGAGCTCTCCTGCGACCTCACCAACGAGACCATGGAGCCCACCAAGCGCTACTACGCCCAGGTCAGGGCCGTCTCTGGAAACTGCACCTCGACATGGACCCGGACGAATGCTTTCTCCCCAAGAGAAGGTAGCGGGGCGCTCCCCTCACCCTCCCCTCTGGGCACCAAGCCCCCGAGGCACAGAGCTGCCTCGACCGTGCCCGTCAGCCTCGGGAGGAGTCCCGTGCCGTGGTTCAGTGGGATGGGGCAGCTCAGGCCCTGCCCCGGCCTGGGAGGTAGCAAGGGCCAAAGCCCCAGGGCCCCTGCTGCAGAGCTCGGAGGGCCGTGGGGCTGGGGGAGGCGCCCCGGGACAGGCCTCCGGCGGTCACAGAGGGAGGCTGCTCTCACACGGCCTCTCGTTTGCAGCGACTCTGCGCCTCGCCGGGGTTCATCTGTCGGTGACGGGCAACAACATCCACGTGAGCGTGCAGCTGCCCCTGCCTGTGGGCAATGTGACCGTCTCGTTCGCGGAGTTGTACAAACACAGCAGACAGTACCTTGTGCTCGTCAACAGGACCTCAGACCACGAGCAGGTGAGCAGGGCGAGGTCTGCTGCACAAGCGAGCCCCTGCCATCGCCCCCTGAACTCGACTGGCTTTCTTAGCTGGACCATGCACGCAGGCGGGCTGGCATCCCCGGGCAGCCGCAGCCCAGAGCTAGAGCCCGCGGCAGTTTGGTCGCACCTTGGGTGCTCCCGGAAGAGGGCAGGGACCCGGTGCCACGGGCTGCCACCCAGGAACAACCTCAGTAGTCAGAGCAGGCCTGGGAAGCAGCCCGCCCAGATAACAGCCTCCCTGTGCCCTGCTCAGGTCCGGTACGTGCACACCAGCGAGACGATCGTCATCTCCGACCTCTCCTGGGGTGAGCAATACTGCGTGCGCTTGCAGCCGCACATCATCTCCAGGCCGAACCCTGGGATATGGACTGAAGAGAAGTGCGTCTCCATCCCCATCAAGGATGGTAAGAGGAAGGGGAAGGGCTGTGGTGGGGGGGCATCCCAGCTGAGGCATCAGAGCTCAGCCCCTCGTTTTGGCTGTGCCACAGCCGGGTCCTGCACTCCCGCAGGGCATGGACTGGGCGCAGTGGGCACGGGGGCTGCCCGCCAGAGGCTGGGACCGGGGCAGACCCACCCTCCGAAGCAGGGGGCTGTCGCCGCTGTCCTGCTGCCTCCCCCGGCACATGCAGCACCGTGGGGCTACAACTGGTTTGAGGGCCGGGGACAGTGTCCGGGGGAGGTCCCGGCTCCCAGGAGAACAGGCTGCAGGGCTGAGGAGAGCAAGGCCCCTGGGCTGGGGGCAGCAAGAAGAGCTCCAGCTCTCTCCATCACGCCAGCGCTCATGTGTGCACATGCAAGCAGGCGCAGACATTCTCCCCCCACACCTCTTCCAACACGCTCACGCAGGATGTCCTGTCACATGCACACACCTTCGCCACACGCAGACGCTCCCCCAGGAGCTGAGGCCCCAGGAAGTGTCACACGTGAAGCGCTCCGAGCACGGGTGCTACGTCACGCCGGCCGGGGCGGGAGAGCCCGAGCCCCTCGGTGCTCCCCTCCCGCTGCAGGGGGGCCACTCCTGGCCGTGCATGGGAGCCCTTGGGGGACGAGGCCACAGGCCCCACGGGCTGTCCAGCCCTGGGGAAAGGGGGAGGCCGGGTGCCTGGCCACGTGGCACGTGTGCGGAGCCCCAAGCCCAGCTGCGCCCGCAACCTGACCCTGGCAAACTGCCCCTTTCCAGAGAAAATGGAGCTGATCTCCACCATCGTGGGCATCGTCCTGTTCATCCTCGCGGCCCTGGTCCTGCTGGGGATGCTCTTCATCTGCATGTACATAAGGAGGCCCATGAGGACGCCGGGCGTGTTGGTAAGCCAGCGGACACGAGCTGGATCTCGTGGCTGTGACTGGGGCCCTTTGCAGGTCGGGCTCCGCCACCCCACCCTGTCTTGGGAGCAGTCTCAGGCCTCAGCTGCCAGCAAGGTCCCAGGCACGCCTGGCCCTGGGCATGCCTGGCCCCCTGCTCTAGGCCGCGGGCAGGCTCGGTGCCCAGCACCTACTGAGGAGACCTGGTGACAGAAAGTGGCTCCATGGCTCCATGAGCTGCATGCCATGCCCAGCTGGCCATGCCAGGGTTGGGGAGGTGGCAGGGAGGGCTGGAGCAAAAGCCAAGGGATTCCTGGGGGTCAGAGGATGGGGTCAAGGAGCACAACGAGGCTAACTCGTCGCCCCGCTTTTCCCTGCCCTCGCAGAAATCCCTCATCAAGCAGAGCACCCTGTGGGCAGAGCAAGAGCACTTCTCTGGCGGGGGCACGGACGTGAGCTCTGTCTGGTCCCTGTCCATGTGCCCCAAGGACACCGCGCAGCGCGCCCACCTCGACAGCGGCTCCGAGCTGGCACTGCCGGTGCTCGACGAGGACTGCACGGTGCACGGAGACCAAGAGTGCCTGCTGGAGGGTTGCGCCCTGCCCGCGGACGACCGCAGCTGCAGCAGCACGGACAGCGGCATCTGCCTGCAAGCCTCCTCCTCCGACCTGAGCCAGCCGCCCGGCTCAGAGAGCCAGGGCTACCAGAGGCAGCTGCCACAGGGCGATGACAGTGGCATAAGCCTGGCAAAGCGCCCCCCCAGCCAGAAGGACTACGAGCTGGTGGAGGAAGGGGACGTGCCGAGGCCCGGGGCACTGGGCCGTGCCCCCGCTGCCGGCGCGGAGGAGGGGGAGCACGTGCCGTTCCGGGGGTACCTGCAGCAGTCCAAGGGCCAGGTGGAGGCGCGGCTGATCCTGGACAGTGCCGGGCCTGCCTGGAGCGCTGGCAAGGTGGAGGGCACCCTGGACGTGGGCTCTGAGCCCGTTACTGCCAAGGGCTATTTGAAACAGGCCTCGCCAGAGCTTCCCCACAGCAGCTCCAGCGTGGCCATTGCCCTGAGGGACCAGGCCCTCGCTCAGCAGCTGGCACCTCTGGGCTTGCTGAACAGGTTTGACTCCGGAGCCTGGGACCTGCCCAGCTCCGGGGTACCGGCCCCCTCCCCAGTGATGAAACTCTTCCCGGACCTGCCGAAGGCACCGTTTCACCTGAGCATCTTTGACACTGGGCAGCTGGGCACCCTGCCCCCCATCTCCAGCCTGAACTCCGGGGAGTGGCTGAGCCTGGACATCGAGCTGCTGAGCTTGCTGGACGCGGAGTGCAAGGACAGCCGCCTCTGAGCCCAACCAGCCGGAGCCCCAAGCCCGGGCTCTCGGTCCGACTCCTCCACACTACTTTGCCCTGCCCTGCCCTGCCCGCCATGCAGAGAACATCACTACGCCCGGGGAAGTGTGTGTGTGGATGCAGGGCCCCTGCCAGGCCATCGGCCCAGAGGACAGGCCCCTGCTCCCTGCCCCTCGCTGCCCTGCAGCTGGCTGGAGCTGCAGGGGCCTGCTTGGGAAGCACCGCACCCGACAGTGCTCGTGGGGCACAAGCCTTCCCGGGGGGAGGCTTCATCTGGGGGCTGTCCCTCGGCTACGCACCCAGGTCCATGCCTCGGTCACATCGCGAACGCCCTGCCACTGCACATGCACAGGCATTAGGCCCCGTGACATGGCGCTCTGAGTGCCGGACGCCCGAGGGGTTGCGTTTGCAGAAGGAAGTTCCTCCGCCATTCCTGGGACTCGAGGGCAGAGGCATGGAAAGCCCCTGGGAGGGCCTGCCTCTCGAGAGCACCATGCTCCCAGTACAGAAAGCGGATGCGCCCTCCCCACCAGCCCTGCGTCATGAGTATGATCTGTATACAGCTGCTTTCCAGAAGGTGGGGGGGGGACTGTGGTCACGGAGCAGCTGCGCTGCGTCAAACCGAAACAAGACGCCCACATACAAAACTGAAGCAGCTAGATCGCTGCTCTTGCCCCATGACCTGACGTAGCGAGAGTCCAGGGAGCCTGGTCTGGGGAACAGGGCGCAGCCCCTGGCCTCAGCCCCACTGCTCTGCTTCAGTGACAAGAGCTGAGCGTAGAAGAGGGGGTCACGCCCGCGATGCCCGGCAGCAGTGTTTGCCGAGGGGGAGCTAGCCCCGGCCCCGCCGGGATCTCACACACCAGAACTGAGGCACTGAGCCCAGAACCACACGAGCCCAAATGCTGCCCCCGCTCCGGCTGGGAATGGGGCCTGCCCGAGGTGAGCGGAGCCGCTCAGGCACAGCACCCGCCAGGCCTTGTCCCCGCACGTCCTCTCCCTGCTCCGGCACCGGGCTGCGACGCCTGCGAAGGGCCATGCAGCTGTCGCATGTTGCTATGGGCATGGGGATGGCGCTTCCAGGAGAGCTGCGTGCCGTTGCCCGTGTGAAATGTGTTGCCTGGTTTGTGCAAAGAACTGTTATTTATTGTATTTAATTTATAAATCTATAAAGGTTATTTAGGCATTCATGCAGGTGCTTTTCTTTCTCACTAGACAGCTGAGGGTTCCCTTTCAGGGGGCTGGGATGCTTCCTGCTGGAAGACACACGAACTGGAGCTTTTAAAAAACACACGGGAAAGATCATTTCCAAATCACGCCTGGGGAGTAGGAGCAGACCAAGCACCTTTTCTCCTTCAAAGGGGCACAGTGCTGTCGAGCAGCAGCCGAACAACGTCCATGCGAACGTAGCGCGTGGAGAGCGTCCTGCGAGGACCTGCCAGCAGCAGGGACCGGGAAAGCGGTGGCTGTGGTGTGTGCACGTGCCAGGGGCCTCTGGCCAGGACGCACGTGCACTCACTTTGCACAGGTGAAAAGGACTCCTGCTACGTGGCGGTGGAGTAACCAAGTGATGTGCCGCGGGGGAGACGGGGCTCCCTGCAGCATCAGCAGTTTCGCAGAAGTCCCCCAAGTGTCACAAACTCACCGTGGGCTTTTTCATAGACAAAATCCAGGGGCAAGGCTTGCCCCTGTGGGTGCACCGGGGGGCTCCCCCCAGAGCGCCCGGGTTCAGATAACATCTGCCCAAAGCCGTGGCCACACGTCAGGTGCTCTCTCTGCCACACATCACAGAAAAAACCTCCTTGGTGCCCAGGCACGACAAGGAGGGGCTGGGGGAAGGAGCCCAGCCCCGCTGAGCTCAACTTTCCCAACCTCACCCCGTTTCTCTCATTTCCATTCCACCACTGCTGCCCTGCATATCTATTTTGGGGATTTTTCAAACTTCCCCTGAAAAGCAGAAACATCCACACTAAATGTGGCTTCTTGCACCAGCTTCTGATGTCACGGCCTGGGACCGCATCCTGCATGGTGCTCTGCCCGCTCCCGGCGCGGAGGGGGCTGGTGGGAGGAGCCACAGCCTGACGCAGGTGTAGGAAATAATGCGCCTGTGACTCAGGGCTGCTGCAGGGCCCGGGACACTTGCTATTAGCTGTTGCTGCAACGCTGTGGGAGCTTTACAAAGGGCTCAGGCACACGCACATGCGCGCAGGGCGGCGCGAGCTCCTCCAGAAGGACGGGGGAACTCGCTAGACCTCGAAGTGGAAATTCCAGAGTCTTACAGCTCATAGCTTGAGCCCGGCAGGAGATTCACGGGAACTTTCCACTTCGGCCAGCTTCAGCCTCCAGCGGGCTTCAGTGACCCCTTGGAGCTGCCCGTGGCTGATGCCAGCATTTGCTGCCACCTTTGGCATCACGTGCTACATCTAATCAGGCACCGAGCTGGCCGGGCCCCCGATCCGCACCTCTGCAGCCGGTTGCTGCAGGGCGGCCGGTGCCTCCAGGCGACCTGCCCCCGAGCCGCCCTCGCTTGCTGACTCGTTGCTTTTCAGCCCCTCTGGTTTCCTCAGGCAAATGGTTGTGTTTGCTCTCGTCAACCAGCTGGAGCGTGGGCAGCTAGACGGGACGCCCGGGAGAAGCCCCCGTGCAGGGGATGGAGAGGACCGAGGAGGGGAGGGGGTGGGACGTAGCTGGCGTCTGTTGTCTCCCCCACACGCAGGCCCACGCGCCAGCGCCTGGTGCATGGATGGAGATGGCAGGAGGACCGGGCCTGGCTGCCACAGCTCTGTTAGCAACACAAGTTAGGTGCCTAGGACAGAGAGGCAGATGCACGTACATGCAAGCGCAGAAGCACAGCTCCGCCCAGTGCTGGGCTGGATCCAGGAGAGCTGGGCAGGGCTCGTCATTGGCACCGTCCCCGCGCCAGGGTGACCGGGCACCAGATGCCCGTCCCTCCGGCTCTGCAGCACAACAGCAGGGGCTAAGGGTCGGGGCTTCTCCCAGGCCAGGGGCCGGGCCGGGAGAGCGGCCGAAGGGCGCAAGGCCCCGCCAGCCTGACCTAGGAAGGCTGCAGCCGCCTTCCTTCGGGCTGGTTCCTGGCCCAGGCTGCGAACACCTGCAGCGACTAGGTGAGGACTGTGCAGGGGCCTGGCCCCACCGCCGTCGTGCAGGCGTGGGCGTATCGACAGCCCAGCGCCCCGGGGAGCGGCTGGCTCCCCTCTCCCCAGCCGGCTCCGCTTCCTGTTGTTGTCCCCGCTCAGCAGCGCTGCAGGGCAGCCGACTTCACACCTCGCTCCCAGCCCCTTTGTTGTGGCTGCGCTGCGCCCCTGTTTTGTTCTCGCCTCCTCTGCGCACGTGCCGTGCCGGGCCGCGCCGGGCCACGCGGCGGGCCTGGGGGCTGCTGCGCTCGGAGAAAACAGCTGGGAACGAAACACCCGGGGATCCTTCGTGCCCCCCGCCCGTGCGCCGCCTGCCCGACGTGGGGGGTCCCGGCCTGGGCGCATCTGCTCGCAGGGTGGCATCGTCTGGGCCAAGCAGCCACTTCTCCCAGGCCCCTGCCCCGCGCCGCACAGGGACCGGGCCCCCCTGCCCCTGCCCCTGCCCCTGCCCCTGCCCCGCAGAGACAGCAGCACAAGCATGGGAGCAGGGGGACGCGGCGCTCCGGCCTCCAGGCAGACGTTGAGGCCGACGGACGTCGGATGCAGAGCAGTCCTGTGCCCTGCTGCCCTCCCGGCTGGAGGCCGTGTCCGCCCGGGGAGCCGCCCTGCCCCACGCAGGCTGCACCTGCAGCCCGCTCAGACCCGAAAACATGAGCCTGAAAACGCGGAGTCAGCAGGGGGGCGGCGCGCTCACTTTCGTTCTCTGTATCGTCGGTGCATGAGCCCAGGGAGCTTGTTTGCTTCCCCAGGGGGAAGCGTGCGGTAGTCTCATTTCCTCAGCAGCACCTTCCCCGCTCCCACCAGGGCAGCCTTTTGTTTCTATTGTTTTTCAGATATGTAGGGAGTAAAAGGAAGGCCCGGGGCAGCATAGGACCACTACTGAATGCGCAAAAGCAATTGGTGACAGATGGGAGGACAAGGCTGAACTCCTCAATGAGGTCTTTGCCTCACTCTTCCTAAACGAGGGGCAAAACAAGTTTCACAATGGGATCACAGAAAGACAACAGCTGGGTGCTAAACTACCAAGCGTTGACCCTGAGATGGTGCAGAGTCACTTGGGAGGACTGGATGCGTTTAAGTCGGCAGGCCCGGATGAGCTCCATCCGAGGGTGCTGAAGGCGCTGGCCGATGTCATTGCACAGCCACTGGCAAGAACATTTGAGCCCTCGTGGTGCACGGGCCAGGTCCCGGAGGACTGGAAAACGGCCAACGTGGTCCCTATTTTCAAGAAGGGGAGGAAGGAGGATCCAGGCAACTATAGGCCAGTCAGTCTCACCTCCATCCTTGGCAAAGTCTTTGAAAAGGTTTTTAAGGCTCATATATGTGAGAGCCCAGCAGGAAAAATTATGCTGAGGGGAAACCAGCATGGGTTTGTAGCAGGTAGATCATGCCCGACTAATCTAGTCTCTTTTTATGTACAGGTTACAAAACACCTGGACGCAGGAGTAGGGGTTGACATCATTTACTTAGACTTCAGGAAGGCCTTTGATACGGCATCCCACCCCATACTGGTGAACAAATGAAGAGGCTGTGACTTGTGTGACTTAGATGATTACACAGTCCAGTGGGTGGCAAATTGGCTAGAGGGTCGTACCCAGAAAGTGGCGGTGGTGGAAAGGTCGGTATCGACCTGGAAGGATGTGGGCAGTGGGGTCCCGCTGGGCTTGGTCATTGGACCGATACTCTTCAATGTCTTCATTGGTGACTTGGACGAGGGAGTGAAGTGTACTCTGTCCAAGTGTGCGGATGATACAAAACTGTGGGGAGAAGTGGACACACCAGAGGGCAACTACAGGCAGACCTGGACAGGTTGGACAAATGGGCAGAAAACAATAGAATGTGATTTAACAAGGAGAAATGCAAAGTGCTGCCCCTAGGGAGGAAAAACGTCCAGCACACC